AGGACAACATTGATTGGCTCATAGATTTAGCCTCTGTGCATTTTGATTGGTCAGCCAAAGCTCGCTGCTGATTTAAAGACTTTAAAACCTTTAAAAAAACTTTGGTTATATTAATAAAAATTGTGCATCTCAATCCGACTACAGAAATTTTCATCAAAGTACTAATTTTGCATAGTTTCTATGAGTGAAAAGTTGATTAAACATGTAAATACAGCTTAAAACTGAAAGCATGCAGGAATTTTTCACACAGCTGTATATATAGTGATGGCTAACCTTTTTTTTGGCTCACGTGCCAAAAGCAGGAGGAGCGCAGGGAGCGCGGGGAGGTCGTGCATGGGCATGTCACACCCATAATCCTATACGAGCGACCCAGAGGGCAAAAAATGGCAGTCCAGTTTGCTCGTAGGGTCATCATTTGCCTTCTGGAGCCTTCCGAGAGAGCTCCGGAGGAAAAAACAGCCTCAAAAGAAGGCCAAAGTCAGCTGGCCAGCACGCGCATGCCCAATGGAGCATATTCTCCAATTTTAGTTTCCCAATCATATATTGACAGCAAATTTCTTTTTTCCATTGTTGTGTCAAATTGATTCTTGCTGCTGGCAGCATAACTCATATTTTCTGGACACATATCCAATTTTAAAAAAAATATGATTTTAGTTTTGGGAGGAAATTTTATGGATGTTTTGGTGCATTTCTTTTTGGTACTTTTGAGTCTTTCCCATAATCATTTCATGCAATAAAATGCTACTTCTTTGTTGTAGCATTTCCAATATTTATTGTTTTGAAAATAATTAAGGGAGGTGTACAGGTAGTCCTTTACTTACAGCAGTTCATTTAGTGACTTTTCAAAGTTATATCATTCAAAAAAGTGACTTCTAATCATTTTCACACAACCGTTCTTCACATTCATGGTCATGTAATCAAAATTCAAATGCTTTGCAATCGACTCATATTTATGATGGTTTTTAGTGTCCTGGGTTCATATGATCACATTCTGCAACCTTCTGATAAGCAAAGTCAATGCGGAATCCAGATTCACTTAACAACGGTGGTACTAATTTAACAAGGGCAGTGATTCACTTAACAACTGTGGCAAGAAAGATAATAAAATGGGACAAAACTCACTTAACAAATGTCTCACTTAGCAACAGAAAGTTTGGGCTCAAGGATGACATATATTTTTTGTAAAACTTTTTTTTTACCAATTTTCAATCACATTGTAGCATCGTCAATTTTACTGACTTTTCTTTAGTTCCACTATTATTAAAGTTTTGCACTCATTTTATCATACAGTTTTTAATTTGTGCTGTGTACATTTCATACTTGAATAACAATTTTTAAATAAATTATTTTGATTCTGTGTATTTCATATTTTATTATCTTTCTCAGGGTCCCTCCTCCTTATTTGAGATCACTTTTTTATTTTTCAAGTTATTTGTAAATGCATTAACCATGAAAAATTCTCATGTTCATTAAGAAATTCTTGTTTTATCTTGAATCAGTTTTTTCAGTCCAGATATATCATACCTGCATATGTGTAACAACATTCTTAGTGTGTATATCCAGTCTTCTCGCTGCATAATTTTTAGGCTTGCCCTTTTCTCAATTCAGATTTTCTGCAGAATTTGACTTCCGGACTTATGATAAGGAGGGTGTGATACTGTATGCTGAAACCATAAACAGTACATCCTGGTTTCTACTTGCGTTACGTGAAGGAAAGATTGAAATTCAGTTTAAAAATGAGCTTGGGACAAAAGTAACAAGTGGTGGTAAAACTATTAATGATGGCTTGTGGCATATGGTAAGTTTTTTTCAGCAAATGAGAACCTGAAAACCGAGTCATTATTGTGAACTGAAAAGCCATATAAATAATCTAAACATACAGAGAAAAACAGCTTTAAGAAATAAGCCTTTTTTAAAGTAATACACTTGTAATATAATCTATCATTTTGTTTAAATGAAACAATTGTATGTGTTTTATTATACTTTAAATCATAGGCCAATAATACTTTACTTTATAATACTTTAAATTATGGGTCAAGACTTTAGGATTTTAAATCCAGAATTTAAAAATTATTGAGACATTCATTGCTCAGTCTTAGAATTCCTTTAGAATTTAGAAGCAAAGGTTTCAGTTGCTTGAAAAGAGAAAATAACACGATGGGATTGAAAAATGTTATATGCTGTATTCTGGACTACTTAACAGGAGACTGGAATTGCCAAACTGAATCGACGCATTGCAGTCTCTTTTCTAGATGCAAAGTTTATATACAAGAGCTAAATACCATAATGTACTCCTCTAACATATTTTTCAAAATCTGAATTAATAACCCATCTATTGAGGACAATAATTAAAAAGTTATTATTATCTATGCCCAAGTCAACATAAAGGCATATTGAAAGTTTGGGGATTGATTTTTTTAAAAAAAAACATTTATATTTATAATAATATATTCAGTTGGTCACAGGGTATTATAGTTATATAATCAAGATTTTCTGGAATACTTTTTGGCTCAGTATCTTGCTAGTAAAAGTAGAGAGCCCTCTGTACCAAATTATTCTATATCAGTCCCCAATTTCAACACTTTTTTCTCCAAATAATGTTTTGCTTCATTTCTTGCCCCAGACTAATATATTGAACTCATATGTCTAACATATGTCTAACAATATGTCTAACATATTGAACTAGTATGTCTTTAACAGGATAACACTGTCTGGTGCACCTCAGGATCATCAATTATCACTAGTCTGCCAAAACAATAAAACTTCATCAGCTAGCACTGTCTAGCTCTATTTTAGGGTGGCTAACTATCACCTTCCTCCATCATAATCCTTCCACTTTGCAGAGTTCCACCTAGATTTTACCATCCTTAACCTGCTTAGAAGATCCTACATTTGCCTTAGAAGACCCTACCCACCTTTGTATTCTATAGGAAATTAAACTAATTCTAAGTGTCTAGTTATATTTATCAGTATATTAAACCAAATCATGTGTTGTGGGTTCTGGATGGATACATGAAAAGATGCTAAGGGCCCATAGGATTTCACTAAGAACATTGTGCCATTGTATGTTAAACTGCTTACAATGGAACCTCAGATCACAAATGTTTCTGACCATGACCAAATTGGGTGCCAACCAAAAAAATCCACAAAATGTTTGACTCTGGTCACGAATACATCCTCAGGTGGCAATCAAACAGAGCCGCGACAATTTTCCCTGCCATGCCATTTTTTTTGTATACGCATGCACAGCTGGTCTCGCTTCCGGTCACAACCATATCGGGTTGCGACTGAAGTCCTGGAACAGATTACGGTCATGACCGGAGGTTCCACTGTAATTTGTTTTTATCAAATCATCATCTTCTTTTAATGACCCCATAAGCCCTTGCAGGGTGGAGTCTGGGCAACTGAATAGAGCTGAGTGTTTACTGGCTAGATGCCCTTCCTGTCGCCAATAGGGAGTTTGTTTCGGCAGATAAATTCTCATTGTGCCCAGAGAGAAAAATATCAGCCTCTTAGGATTGAACTCACAGCCTCCTGATTGTGAGACATGAGCTCCACCTCTAGGCCACCACACCACTCATGTTTTTAGCAAATGTCCTAGTTACGTGAATCCATTCAACCAAATCAGAATCTTACTGCACACACATCATTGTTGCTGGGTTGGAACAGATTCTCAGCATTTATACACTTTTTATACTTTTTTTTTAATATTTAGATCTCTGTGGAAGAACTAGAGCATAGCATCAGTGTGAAAATAGCGAAAGAAGCAGTGATGAACATCAATAGCCCAAGACCTCTTTTCAGGCTTTCCAATGGCTTTTTGGACACAAAAGTGTACATTGCAGGACTCCCTCGCAGAATGGACAACAATATAATTAAAACGGTAATTTTTGTAGTATTTGTTGGGGCATCATTGCAGTAAATGTAGGTATAGCAATTAATGTTTGGATTTTTTTTTCTTTTAAAACTGTCATTGTAGATATTATGTGTATAGTGTATATTATCAAGTTTAGAAATTTATTTTTAGAATAAGAATTTAATCTATACCTACAATTTTTAGAGTGTTAATCTAATGTTCTCACTAAGCGTTGATTATAATTTCTTGAATTCTTGAATAGCATGACTATTTTACCTTAGAATCCAGGAAATCACGGCCACAACACTTCTAGACTATACTTCAGGACTATAAAATGCTGAGAAAAGGCAATAAATGTGGTGAAATGCACACATTTACACACATATTCCTACACATATATTAAATATACACACCTATTTGAGGGTCCCTTTCCCCCTAGGTTCACATGGCACCTGTAGAATGAACTGATCCCCATGCAGGATCAGAGTTCAAACGATGAAAAAAAAACGCTTGAAAAACCTTGTATTGCCTATTATTCCATGCATAAATAAGAGTGGAGTGATCTAACCTGAAAGAATAAAATTTGAAGAAGTATCTTGTTATGTGCTATAGCTTCAAAAATGATTCTTTTTTTTCTTTTTCTTTTTACTAGCACTTTATACTGAAATTACTGATGCATTTTCATGAGCTAGAGTAGCATTTGTCCTGCAGTAATTTGGAAGTAAAGTATAGATGGGAGAAGGAGCTTCAGTTTTAAGCACTCAGTGAGATAGTTGCAAAAAAACAATAAGGATGTTTATTATTAGAAAAAAGGAAAAAAAGATGTCTCTTTATAAAGACACTCTACAATGAAAAGCACCATTCTAGAGAAGAAAACTATATGCTTCCTACTTTATTGACAAAAATAAAGGGCAGAGTTACTAGTAACAGAATGAAATGGCAGTAAAGATTAATAATAGTTCAGTCCTGCCTGAAGTAAGAGTATAAACATAAATAAGTTTGAATGTATTACTTATAAGATTCTATTATTGCTATTTTGAAAATGTAGCCATGTTGAAAATTCAAGGCTATCTACTGAGCTATCTGCTTTGCAACATTTTTAACATAAAGATAATTCATTTTCATATTTTTGACACAAAAAATTCTACAAAAGACTGAAAAAATGCCGTGCAAATACATTCTAACTGATCATTAGTTGGCTATTTGCCTGACATGTAGAAATCACATCTAGCTTTCAGCAGAAAGAAATGTTTGATCCCAGCTGTCAGGTATTTTTGCAAGTGTTACCCTGAAAGTAATTCTTTATGTCCCTTCCCTTGGAGTCCAATCATGTATTTTCGTATTCCAAATTTTTGTGGGACTCAGTTGTTCCTCAATGAACAAATGGTGTACATAGAAAATGTTGAAATATGGCTTCATGGAATTCTAAACCAGGAAAATAAGTGACCCTTCTGAGATTATATCCCCAAAGGTTAGAATAAAACCTGATCTGCAAAAGAGATTGTTACATGTAATTTTAGATCATCATAACTTTAAGAATACACTGACAGCTGTTGTCACCTTAATAAGTCATACTTCAAACTATATTTCAATGTTGGTCACATTATTTGATGTCATGAGAACAACCAAAACTTAGGGTTTAATTATATGAAGATAGAAATATATTTGGCTATGGAAAGCTTTTTAACATTGCTTTGTGTTAATGTGGCACTATTTAATAAATTAATGGATTAGATTACATCAATGAAAAATCTGAAAATAATTAAAATTGTAACCTGCTAGGGTGCAGACTATTTATAATATGCTGTATAGTTAAAAAGGCAGTGCAAAATATCTGAAAGAAATGTTTCACAACGCACTTCTTTAGCAAATGTTTTAAATATCCCAGATAGGTAGATACCTTGGCAAAATGGCTTACTAACTTTTTATCACAAGATTGGATAGCAGAGAAAAGCTAAATTCCCCTGTTATTTCTTTGCCTAACTTGCATAATTTTATGATACAAGTAGTTCCCTGTATATCTTCCACTTCTTCAATAACCAAGGTTACAATGGGAGTGAACAAAGAGTTCGTAACTACTTGTACTTGCAGCTATTTTAGCATCTCTGCAAATATGTGATTGCCATTTGGGTACTTGTGACATTGCAGCATCTTGAAATCCCATGATCACCATTTGTGACTTTCATTGCCAGCTTCTGACAAGCAACTCACTAGGAAAGCAGGCAGAAGGTCACAAATGGCAATCATGTGACAGAGATACTTTGCGGGATTTGCCTAATGACGGCAATTGGAACTGCAAGACCTGCCATTGTAAGTCGGTGTAATCACATAATGTCACTCCTAATGATCATTTTGCTTAGTAATGGAGTTCCTAATCCCAATGATCATTTGGTAAGAACTACCTGTATCTACAAAGAAAAAGACTTTATTCCCTGAAATTAGCATTTTTTTTCTGCAAAGCTACTTAAGAGATGATTTGTTCTTCCCAAGAAACTACTCACCACCTTGAGAGAAATTCCTTGTCATCTTTTGTGGCTAATGAACAGTAATTATCCCTTGGAAAGTTGTGAAAATGAGTATGATTTGAAGAGAAAGAAATAGATGACAGGATAGATATTTAAGTAGATTCCCAGTATGGCATCTCTACTCTGAACTTGTAAATGTAAACCGCTCCAAACTCGGTTGCAGAAAATATGACTTCAGCAACAGACTGGTCAATGCCTGGAATGCACTACCTGACTCTGTGGCTTCATTCCCAAACTGCCATAACTTTATTCTTAAACTGTTTATTATTGACCTCACCCCATTCCTAAGAGGTCTATAATGGGGCATGCATAAGCGCACCAACGTGCCTACTGTCCAGTGGTGGATTTCAAAATTTTTTAGAACCTCTTCTGTAGGTGTGACCTGCTTTGTGGGAGTGGCTTGTCAGCCATGCGAACAGGTGGGAGTGGCTTGCCAGCCAAGTGACTGGGTGTGCATGGTCAACTTGTAAAATGTGGTGAAACTCACTTAACAACGCTCTTGCTTATAAACCAAAATGTTGGCTCAGAAACTCTGGCATTTGAAGCACGCAAGTCTTAAAGCTGTCAAGTTACAAGACCCTTGCACTCCTAATCCTTTAGAAAAAAAACAGGGATGTTCAAACTTGACAGCTTTAAGACTTGTGGACTTCAACTTCCAGAATTCCTCCTCCAGTCATGTTGGCTCAGGAACTCTGGCATTGAAATGTGCAAGTCTTAAAGCTGTCAAGTTACAAGATCTTTGCACCCATAACCCTTTAGAAAAAAAATCCTGTGGAATTCAACTCCCAGAATTCCTCCTCTCACTATTCATCTTGATGATGTGCGGATGGGAGGGAGCTGGAACCGGTTCTAAACGGCACTGTAGATTTGTGGAACCTCTTCTATAGAAGAGGTTAGAACTGGCAGGAACCTCCCTCTGCTACCGTCTCCACTTATTCGTATCCATTTCCTGTATTCATAATCATGTTTATACTTAAGTACATCTGTTATCTTATACATGCTTAACAAATAAATAAAATTGCATTAAAATTAAAAATTAATGTTGTATATATTTACAACTGTCTTGCCAATATTGTAAAGTTGAAATCGTATCGACAAATCCATTGCAAATTCCAGTCTCAGATAATATTCTTTGAATGACATAATCAGTTCTATAATTCTTTTTACAGATTAACCCCCGTTTGGATGGGTGTATTCGTGGTTGGAACTTGTTAAATCAAGGAACCTCTGGCGTAAAAGACTTCATTCAAGAAAAGCAAAGCAAACATTGTTTAATAAATGTTGGAAAGGGATCTTACTACCCTGGCACTGGCATGGCAAAGTTTCACATTAGCTACAGTAAGCTTGCTTGTTTAATACAATTTCTATGCTGTCACCTAATCATGAACTGTGGATAGCATTGGTGCACGTTTGTCTATATATGTGTATACAAACACAAACACACGCACACATCCACACATATATTCACAGTCATAACATCACAACACTGTTAAATATATAATATGGCAAAACATTTCTCCCAAAATAAGCCTTATGAAGAAGGTTGGTTTTGCTTTCTTCTTAATTGTTAATAGGGAAGTACCATTTTAATTGGGGCAACCATAGACCAGAAACTTTTTTTGGTCCTTTCTCCCTTAGGTTCATTAACTGATTGTTTGACATATTATGTGCCACTGTTGACTCTTAGCAACCAAATAGATAGACCTACTCTAGGATCCTTAGCTTTGTGATAGATACGAATGTATAACATGCCTTCTCCATTTAAATGTACAAGATAGGCAGATTCTATTTGGAACAGAAAGTCCCCAAAATAGCCAGAATTCATCAAAAGCTTCATTGGTAACAGCATTTTGAATTTTACCAGAAAACCTGTAGGTAACATTGGTCTATAGGAGACCTATACAATAACCAAACAGGTGGTTTTAGTTTGTTGAATTGTGGGGTTTTTTGTCAGTACTTGAGCTGCAATATTTTGTTTCTGAATATTCTTCAAAGGCAGATTGAAACAGTAATCCAAACAGAAGATGCTGAGGTTGGGAGCTATTGTGCCTGAAGTATGTGGGTCCAAGAACAATAACATCTGGAGTTACTTTTTGGCAAGATTTCAGAAGTAACTTGCTATTGCCTGTTTCCTAGGGTTGAGAGAGAGTGAATGATCCAAGGTCACTCAGTTAACTTCATAGCTACCTGGAATTAGACCTCATGGATTCCAACTTCCTAACTTGATACTTTAATTACTGCACCAAACTGGCTGGTGCAGCTGAATTAAATATGGAGTCTTGCCTACAAGACAGAGGTGGTATTCAGCAGGTTCTGACCAGTTCTGGAGAACTGGTAGTGGAAATTTTGAGTAGTTCGGAGAACTGGTAAATATCACCTCTGACTGGCCCTCCCCATCAGTTCTCTGCCTCCCAAGTCTCAGCTGATCAGGAGGGAATGGGAATTTTGCAGTAACCTTTCCCTGGAGTAGGGAGGGAATGGAGATTTTGCAGTATCCTTCCTCTGACATGTCCACCAAGCAATGCCCACCAAGCAACTCCACACCCAGCAAGCAATGCCCAGAGACCCAGTAGTAAAAATTTTTGACTCCCATCACTGCTACAAAGTAGGTGCTTCTGCCCAAATATCCTTTTAGGTTATAGCAGAAGTATTTCAAAGCTATAGGCCTAAACTGTTGTCATGATCTATCTATCCAGGTTATTGGATAAAAGCTGCTTATGATGGAAGACCTCTTTTTTGCAAATATTGTAAATATACAAGCTGGAAAATTACAGAAATATTTCAAGATTTATATTCAGTCTGCTTTTCAGTTTGATCAGGGTAGAGAAATACATAAGGTGGCTACTCTGGGGAAAAATTATAAGTAGTGTTATAGAACATTTTTTAATGTTTCAGGAAAGAGTAAAATAAGCTGTTTCAAATGTTTTTTGTATGTAGGAAAGTTGAGATTAAATGATTATTTTGTAACTGGCTGATACATTCTTTTTTCTTGCTTTCTGGCTTATTTTAAAATGAAACAGATAACATTTCAAGCAACACAGACGATTGGTTAATAAATGTGGCAATGGCTATCCGTCCATCCACAGGCACTGGAGTAATATTTGCCTTAGTTTCAGGTGAAACAGTTCCTCTTGCTTTGTCTATTGTGGATTCCAACTTAACAAATGTACAGGTACTCTTTGTTCCCACTACATGTATTCCTGATGGAGACAATTAACCTAGGTATCTGGTACCTCCATGACACAGGGAAAAATAATAGGAAACTTTTTAGTCCCTTTGCCATGACAATTTGATGCCACCAAGGTGCAGTAGAATTTTCCCTGGATTAATCCAGATAAGATATTGAGATGTAATTATGTTTAGATGTGTATATAATTAGTTTGATTTTGACAAACATAAATTAATCTTTTTCACCAGTCCCTGGGAGATTGAGATACATTTCTCCCTCTCTCCCCCCTCTCCCTAGTCACATCATTCAAAATGTCCTTAGAGCAATTCCTTGTTTGAAATAAATCTGTGCATCTCTATAAAGAAATCTTTTTCTGATTTACATCTTTACTGTGCAGAATTTTCATGAAAAGATAATTAAAAAAGCAGTGACTGCAGGATGGAGGTCAAAAAAGTTAAGGTGGCAGTTTCAGCAGCACAATTTGAAGTCCTGGCATTTATTTATGTATCATATTTATATGGCCAGCTTGTAAAATGTGATTGCACGCATGCATGCAACAAATTGGACAGGGCTTTGATCTTTCTGCCATCTTAATTTTTTAATAAAACCCTGAATGCTTCTGATTTAAAAAAATAAGCCATCTGCTGTAAGATGGTGTGTGTGTGTGTGTGTGTGTGTGTATTATGTATGTATGTATGTATATTTCTGGGAACATGGTTCTTCATGTCAAAAATGATTTTGTTTACATTTACAAAACAGTTTGAAAAATGTTGGTGCTAAATGTTAAAGCAGCAAGGCTGCAAAAATTGTAAATTTGCATTTAATTATGATTTACTGAAATGCTACTAAGAAAAATAAGTTGATTTATTCACCTATCAAACATTGAATTATTTTCACTAGTATTTAAATATTCATATTTCTACTATTTGTTCTTGTCACTTAATTGAAATATATTTTCTGAATTATTTGATGATGCTAATTCTGTTAAAGCTTTTCTGTATATGGAAAACTGAAATAGAAACTGAAATTGATTATCCCCCTCTTATTTTGTTTCTGAATCCTAGGAAATCATTGTATCTATTCAGAATGTCATTGTTGCTCACCTAGAGTCAAGAAGTTTGTGTACCTCAAAAAGAGTACAAGTTAGACTCAAGATAAGTAGACAACAGCTTGAACTTACAGCTGATTCACATTCAGCTATCACCTATTCAGGACATCATCTCTCAGTCCTTGAAGAAGCAATTAATGAATCCGTTGACACCTACCTAGGGGGTATTCCTGGTAAGACTTGTTCTTATTAACTTTCAGTAAATGCACATAGGATTACAGTCTTCTAGACATGTGAAGAAGACAAGCTTTAAAAGAATCCACTCCAACACTCACCAACTATGGTCGGATGGGTTTCCAGGAAATTCGGAAAAATGCATAAAAATCATCCATGAAATGATAAAATTTCAGTTTTTCACTTAGACAATAAAGGTATTTAATTGTATGCATAGCTCAGCGTAGCCTTGAGAAAATCAATTAAGAAATAATAGATTGGCATGGATTTCACACTGTGTTTTGCAACACTTAGTGGTTTTCATAATTTCTTTATTAAAAGAAATTATTCCTTACACAATATTTAATAGTTTCTGTCAGTGGAATGATAATAATTATAATACATTATCAGATAATGGAGCTGCACTAACACATCCATGTTTTGGGCTTTCTACAATCCATTTGTAGTGGGTTTATCTAAAGTGAAAAGCCTATTTTATATCTTAGGTTGAATTTCTAATCTATCTAAGAAACATATCTACAGCATGATCTCCTATTTAGATACTAGAGTATCTCAGTTTTATAAGTAAGAATCAGTAGTAGTAAAAATTCTATCCTATAAAATTACTGTATTTTTCGGAGTATAATACACACCAGAATATAAAATGTTTTGAAAATTTCGAAAAAGCAAATTAAAAAAAATTTTTTTTGCACTCCTGCAAACCTCTCAAAAATGGCCGATTTTTCATGAAAATGGGCCCTTTAAAAAAAAAAAAGAGGCATGAATAGCCCTTAAGAGGCTTGTAGAGTGCAAAAAGCAAGCAAAAAACGGCCCATTTGTTTGCAAAAATGGACCCATTTTTTGCCCAAAAAAGGGACATGGATAACCTTTAGGAAGCTTATAGAGTTTTCCTGGGGATTGGGGGGGGGGGAATTGAGCAAAAAACAGTGCATTTCTGTCCTCCCCAGGCCCCAGGAGCTCTCTGAAAGCCTCCTACAAGCTATGCATCACCACTTTGGTGAAGGGGCTGGGATTTCGGGAGGCAAAAAATGCTGTATTATAAGATACCCCCAGATTTTCAGCTTCTTTTTTGAGGGAAAAGGTTGCATCTTATACTCCGAAAAATATGATAGTAAGTTCACTAAAAGTACCATTAACTGTAAGAGTTAATCAGAAATACAGATTCTCTATTTCTGAGGTAATATCACAATGTGATATCAAGAATGTTTTGAGATCAGTTTTATTACTGAGATGATAATTTATTAAAATGATTACAAAATTCTTTAAGAAAAACTCATATATCAAATATGATTTTTCTGTAAACATTTTTATCCTGTTAACTTATTTTTTAATTTGTGAATTAGTATTAACTATTCTGTGTTTTATTCAGATGTTCCAGTTGAGGCAACTCCAGTCACAGTTTTTTACAATGGCTGCATGGAGGTGAAAATTAATGATAGGGAGTTGGATTTGGATGAAGCCATTTCCAAACAGAATGACATTAGATCCCATTCTTGCCCACTACTGTTGCATCCGAGACCTGAAGTCATGGATTACCCTTCTGATTTTTAAAATCTACAGGAAACCTCTGGTTGTTCTGCACAAAATGGATTGAACTGTAAATGCTGTTTTATTTCCAATAATCTGTTTTCTGAACATATACATTTCAAAAATATGTCCAACGTGAATGGACAGAACCAAGGTTAACCTCCCATCAGGGTAGCATCGCTGATGTCATTTCAAAATTTTTAGTTTTTTAGTTATCATATTTTGTATTCTATGTGTGTTTTGGAAGAATAAAAGCTGAAAACATCTATTTGCACTTAATTTATGTATTCTGGTTATAAAAATAGGATATTTCATTTTTTATTAAGACAATTAAGATCCTTTTGTCCTTTGAAAAGGATAGAGTAGGGTAGGATAGGGCAGGATAGGATAGGAACTGAACTCTTGATGCACATCCATTTTCTTAAACTTGTAATAATGTTTCAAGGGTAATAGTCAAACTGACAAAGAAACAAAAAGAACAAAACATTTGTTCAAACAAATATGGGTCTTAATTTATATTAAATAGATGTAATCTCAATCCTATATAACTGTTGGTGAACCTTTTTGGCACTGAGTGCCGAAACGTGAGGATGCGTGCACGTAATGGAAACCAGAAGACCAGCCGCCCAGTGCATATGCATATGCTGGGAAGATGATCTTCAGGTTTCCCATGCACTATGTGGTCTTCGCACTCGCATGCACACCACAAATTGGAAGATTAGGTGGCTGGTGCGCATGCGCACCCAGGCGGCTACACTTCTAGTTTCCAGCACTCCTGCACGTCTGAAGACCAGTTGGCCAGCCTACTGGAACCTGAAGACCAGTTGGCCAGCCTACTGGAACCAATTGGCGATGACTTCGTGCCACTTCGGGCATGCGTATCATAAGTTTATCATTAAGCTGTATAAGCTTTTATTTACAGCATCTCTTCTTAAACAACTACTGCATTTCTTCTTACTGAAAAATGTAAACAAATTTTCAGGGTTTTTTTCAATGAAGTTCAATTTTGTAAAGAAATAATTACTACAGATCCAAACAGATAACTTTATATTATTTATTAAAAATAGTACAAAACAGAATATGATGAATAGGATATAGCCAACTTATTGGGTTGGTTGATGATCTATATGGATATTTACAATGTCTTCTTATGAAACATCCCAGTACTGCAGAGTTATTGAAAAAAGATATTTCTGCAAAAACAGTTCAGTGTCACATAAGATTTTGCAACAAGAATTACAACCTTCTAATTTTATTATCTCGCAGCATAGCATCTATTTTTCTGGATGAATAAGAGCCAAGGTGGCGCAGTGGTTAAATGCAGCACTGCAGGCTACTGCTAGATCAGCAGGTCAGCGGTTCAAATCTCACTGGCTCAGGGTTGACTCAGCCTTCCATCCTTCCGAGGTGGGTAAAATGAGGACCCAGATTGTTGGGGGCAATATGCTGACTCTCTGTAAACCGCTTAGAGAGGCCTGAAAGGCCTATGAAGCGGTATATAAGTCTACTGCTATTGCTATTGCTATTGCTATAAATGTATTTTGTCAAGTGAAAGATTTATATCTGATTTGAAAAAAAGCCCAGTGCACACAACTTGTGAGTCTTAATGGCTCAGAAATATTTCTACCTTTAGATAAATCTAAGTATCTAAGATCATGATTTCCATTGATCAGTTGATTGCAAATATTCTTACCTTCTAGCTGTTTAGAAAGACTACTTTCTGCAGACATAGATTACTGTAAACAGCTGTTGGAACATTTGAGACCAAAGATAATTCACTGTTACAAAGTAGGGCAAAACTATTTTAAAAATCTCTAAATGTTTCCAGCTGTCAATTTCACCTGTGAACAAGTATAAAAAATGAATGTTTCACCGAATTATTACAATCAAAGAATATTTCAGAAGGCTGAGAAAAAAATACCTTGTAGGACTGCTTGTAAATAGGTTATATATATAAAAACAGAATCGACAGATAACTGCAAGTGACCAACTGACTGCCTAGGAGATTTACAAAAGAGAATCTTCTCTTTGATTTCATCACAAGTCATTGTCTAAAACATGCAAAGGAAACCATTGATAAGCCTGAAACATTTTGGAATAAACTACTTCACACCAATGACTCAAAAACTGAACTCTAGCCAAAACTGCATAAGTTTAATATAATGGGGGTAGGGGGATGAGGAGAGAAAAGTTAAACAAAAGGCTTTTCAATGACTGTCACGGTTAAAACTGAGGACAGCTTTCTTCTGCTTTTGACATGAAGTTCAGCACATACTTAAAAATAACTTCTTTTATCCAGTAGTTGACTTCTGAAGTAATGTATGGCAACCTATTAATATTAAAGGACATTCTTCAAACCTACTAGCACACCAATCCAAATATATATATGACCAAATCCCCATGGTTGTCCATAAGTCTTAGCATTAGAGGAGAAATTCATTAATTCTGAAAAGTCAGCTAATGATCTTATACTTCATTTAAGTAAGAACATGGAAAAGATAATATGGAGATTCAAGAAATAATACATGAAGGCACTTGTCTTCATCTAAATGGCATGTTTTGCAAAAGTTGTTATGTTAAATTATAACTAGATGATTTACAAGTTGTTACTCAGCTTCTAAGAGAATGCTGGAGACATACATGATTGCCTATACAGATGATTCTATTTACCAATTCATACTTCCTAGACTCTGGTACCAAGTTTATATCTAATGCAAATGCCTTAATAAATATTACTAGTCCATGTTATGAATAAAAGTTAGACCTTATATCAAATTTTTAGCTGAACTTTTAAAATAATAGGGAACATTAATAAATAAATATTACATAGTGGGGTTCTGCATCATTTGGTGATGATTTGGGGGGAAATGCAGTGGCTCTGTTCTGGTCATTAAAATGGTCTTTCCTTTTTTTCAGCACTCTGCTGCTTCATCATTATTTTAAGCTCAAAAGGTTTAAAATGGAAGTCTCAAAAACAATGTCATGCTTTAATGAATACAAATCAGTACACTACTCTCACAAGATCTGAAGGATTTTTTCCTAATTTGTTTTTAAAATATACATAGCTATAGTATCAACTAAACATTGGATGTTTGCTAATTTATTAAGTGTGTTTTGCCCTTTATAGAACCTAGAAAAATGAAGCAATACATTCCTTCATTCTCAGTTATTTTAAAGAATATCTTAGATGTATATTCAGTTGTGGTACCCAATTTCTCTACTCCATTTGCTTCTATCCTACAGAACCACATACGAAAGTTAAGTTAGTAAGATTCAATGAGAATGTCAGAAATAATATCTTAAAACCTGCCTTATAGTTTCTTGAGTTTTCTTCTACTTTATTCTCACAGTACTTGAAAATTTATCTTAGTGATGTTTGAACTTTATCTAACTGATCCTGACATATCTCAGAAAATCTATGCAGTGCCAAAGCGAGCTACTGCTTTGATGAATACCACCAGAAAACCACGAAGCTACAGGTTAAGTTGAGATCTTGAACAAACATCCTAAGAGACAGAATAGTAAATCATTTCCATACTGCTGCCAAAAAAATCAGCGTGCTTCTTCTCTATTGGATTGCTACTATTGTTATCTGCTTTTCCATACCTCCTAGGCTCCTCTAGTGGTCTGCACATCATTTTGAACAGATTCATGGACTTTTCCAACAATATTTCTTTTGGGATTTAATAAAGCATGAGAAGCCAGCAAAGCTGCAGCCCTTTAGACAGGATACCCAGAAGTAAACATAGTCCTGAGAAGCTAATTCTTAATTGATAAGTGGAAATACCGGTACATAACTCTCCAGCCATGAAACATTCACTCAAATTCTCTTTGGCTTTGGAGAAAATTTTGGGGTGAAGACACCTTTTCTTCCATAGTAATGAATGAGAATTGGTAGAAAATAAGACTAAAGCATTTTCCTACATGACACTTTTTCAAGACTTCATAAAGCAGGATTCAATACCTTTGTTGAAACAGGCTGGAATAGTGATATCACTTTGACAGGAAAGCTATATAAGTGTAAACCAGCTGCTAAAATTCTAACGGTTATCATCAGGGATTTTTTTTTTTAAAAAAAAAGTTATTCTTTGAACTTTTCACAATACACAACTGAGAGATATAAATCAAACCCCATGCAGTTTACAAGACAAGAAAAGAACAGCTGCTAAATAACTTTTAACATCTTACTTGTACTATGAGACACATTACTTGATATAAGTTTCATGTGTCAATCTCGGTACAAGTGGACATTCCATTTACAGTATATAGTCTAGTTGGTTTTTCAATGCCATCTATAAGGATAAGAGAAATACTTATAGCTTTTTTAAAAAAATGATACAGTTTATCCTTTGAACTCTTCTACCATATTGAGTTGGAATTCTCTGTTTGGTTCTGAGTTGGCTGGAACATAATTCAACTGGACTTTTTTGAAGTGGAATTGCTCCAATCAACCTCTTTTTTATTTCAAGGTTGAATTCCATACAAAATTACTTTGGCATAAGACTCATTGAGTTTAGTCACAGGACTTTGAAATAAACATGAACAAGATCAAGATTTGCATTTTTTAAAAACTTTACTTAGGAAGAATATATCAGATATTTTGAGACATGGTTGACAAATACAGTTTGCCTGAAATACAGAATATTCTCACAGATGCAATTAATTTTTCCCTTTAAAATGAATGAAAGCAAGATATTTTAAAGAACCCAGGACTAGAAATTCTCAGAAAGATGCCACCCACTTCCGCTATCACACATCACAAAGATATACACTTTCTTTTTACTGTTAGGGTTCATTAATGGATTTTTCCCCATTGTTTGGATCCCTTGAAGTCAGTAGCCTGCAATAAGAAAACATGAAATGATGATGTTTTGCTGACATGAATAAAAACTATTGATTCCTGATTATTTCAAATATTGAACTATATTTCAGATTGATGTATTGATCCACGTGGAAGAGACCTAATCTCTCTTTAAAAGGGCCCCCTGAGATAATGCTTTTATTATTATTTTAACATATGAATTATCCATGCCTTTATATTTCACTTGTGTCCATATGGATGGAGAGATAGACAGCTAAGAAAATCAAGGATAGCAGTTCAATCCAGAATTCATATTTTTTATCCTTACACAATCACTAGAATCATTATTCAAAATTCACCATGCACTATTCAAAATTCTAGACAAAACTCTTTAAAAAAAACTTATAAAAATTAAATTGTTCAGAAGCAAATAACACATGTGGTGAACAGCACCAAAAC